CAAAACTGTATTTTAAAAAGTAAAGAAGGACCTTATAACTGTTACAGATGAAGGACATTGGTAAGCCATTCAGAATATTAATGGTGCTTTCTCTAGGAAGATCTTTTTATGCAGTCATATTACTGGTACTCTAGTAATACTAAGGAATCCACTCTCTCTATCAATAGCTCAGTGAAAGCCTTGGGGAGATAATAGAGGAAATTCAATTTCTAGCTTTGTGAAGTTTTTTATTATTATTATTTACTTATTCCAGCAGCATTATGCACTTGAAAAATCCTTATACATGTGGAAAGGATAAATTTGAATGAGATTATCATGCTGTGCTGGATAGCTATAGTGTCAAATTGACACACCTAGGCTGAGGGAGCCTTAATTGGGGAATTGCCTCCATAGGACTGGCCTGTGGCCATGTTTGTGGGGCATCTTCTTGATTGTTGAGTGGTGTGGGAGGGCCCTGCTCACTGTGGGTGGTGCCAACCCTAGGGAGGTGGGCCTGCGTTGCATAAGAAAACAGGCTGAGCAGGGGCCAGAGGAGCAAGCCAGTAAGCAGTGTCCTCCATGGCCTGTGCTCCAGCTCCTGCCTCCAGGTTCCTGCCCTGAGTTCCTACCTTGGGCTCCCTGATGTACTGTGACCTGGGAGATGTAAGCCGAATAAACCCTTTCCTCCCCAAGTTGGTTTTGGTCAGAGTGTTTTGTCACAGCAGTGAAGAAACAAATTAGGACACATGCTCACTGACCACTCTTCATTTATATCCATGTATCCTTTGGGACATAGGCATTCAAATGGTGCTCCAGTGTTCAGCCTTTATATTAAGAGACTTACAGCAGGAGGCAAACAGTCACTGATTTCCACCTTACTCCATATTAAATTGACAATTTCTTCCTTTGTTAATAGAGTTTAAATTACTAGGATTTGTGTGAATAGTGTTTTTAAAAAATAATTTCTTAATGTTAGCATCAAAATATTACTTGTTTCTTTGCTAGTTGTGTCACCGCTTGACAAGGTAAGCTACTTGAGGAAATGGGCACTGTCTAGTTTCTGTCTGCTGGTGTCCAACATAGTAATAGCACATTGTAGACAAACAGTATAATATTTGGTGAATGACTAAATAAATTTCATCTAGATGCTAGGCACTGGTGATGAAATCCTTGAACTTTAATGTACAGGTTTCCATAGAATTCTACAGGTTACATATGTATTTTTTATAAATTATTAATGGAAACATAAAGATTAGACTTGATTACATCCAGGCAGGCACATTAAATTTTGTGCTTCCTGTAATCTCTAGTGGTTTGCAATGAGCATTTGCATGTGAGAGATTTGCATATGTTGTCTGGCACTGTGTAAAAATTATAAGCATAGTGTTTCTCTGTCTAATAGAGACTTTCCTGTCCTGTAGAAGGACCAAGTCTGTATTCATAGTTGGAGCTGGCTCATTAAATAAGAACCTTCTTTCCACCTGGTGGTAGATCAACCTTCAAGAAGGAGCCATGTTTAAAGACTTCCTCTTCTATCTCCCAAAGATCCACTTGCTAATGCCTTTTTGGATGAAAAGAGATTAAAATCAGTATATTAAGTGGTTACTTTCTATAGACTTTGCACATGACTATCTTCAAGTGTGCATACACAGAACTGAAAGAGGAACCCTTTAGAATGAGACTTTGCTTACAACTGTGTAAAGACTGTTCGTTGTTGAAATCATTTTTTTTAAGTTTTTTTTTTTTTTGTCTTTTTGAGACAGGGTCTCCCTGTAGCTCCAGCTGGCCTGGAACTCGTTATGTAGATCAGGCTGGCTTCAAACTCACAGAGATCTGCCTGCCTCCTGCCTCTGCCTCCCAAGTGCTGGGATTAAAGGCATGCACCACCATGTCTGGCTTAAAAGTTTTTTTTAACATTTTATTTATTATTTTTATTTTATGTGTATGAGTGCATTGCCTGCATGTATATAAGTTCACCCATGTTGTGCAATGCCCACAGAGGTCAAAAGACTGTGTCTGATCCCCTGGAACTGGAGTTACAGATAGTTGTTAGCTACCATGTGGGTGCTGGGAATTCAACCCTGGTTCTCGGCAAGAAGAGCCAGTGCTCTTAACTGCTGAGCCATCTCTTCAGCCCCTGTTGAAATGATTTTTAACATATAAATATATGTTATTTAAATTTAAAAAAAATTATATTTGAGTGTTTTGCCTGAATGTAGTGCACCACATGCATGAAGTACCTGTGGAGGCCAGTAGAGGGCATCAGATCCCCTGGAACTGGAGTTATGGGTAGTTAGACCCATGTGGAAGTTGGGACTTGAACCCAGGTCCTGTGCCATAGTAGCCAGTGCTCCTAACCACTGAACTATCTCTCCAGCTTAATAAATGTTATTTTTAACTGTAGCATTAGCACATGTCCACTGTAGATAGTATGAAAACAAAGTAAGTTATCCATGACTTCACCATAAAAATAGCAACCATTTTAAGTATATTTTCAAATTTTCTTCCATTTTTATGGGTTTCCTATAGTTTAGCAGCACACATCACAACCATTTTCCTA